GGTCAGGGAGATCCTGGGAATGGTCCCGTGGTCAGGGTGATCCATGGAATGGTCCCGTGGTCAGGGTGATCCATGGAATGGTCCCGTGGTCAGGGGGATCCTGGGAATGGTCCCGTGGTCAGGGTGATCCTGGGAATGGTCCCGTGGTCAGGGTGATCCATGGAATGGTCCCGTGGTCAGGGAGATCCTGGGAATGGTCCCGTGGTCAGGGTGATCCATGGAATGGTCCCGTGGCCAGGATGATCCATGGAATGGTCCCGTGGTCAGGGTGATCCTTGGAATGGTCCCGTGGTCAGGGTGATCCTTGAATGATCCCGTGGTCAGGGTGATCCATGGAATGGTCCCGTGGTCAGGGAGATCCTGGGAATGGTCCCGTGGTCAGGATGATCCATGGAATGGTCCCGTGGCCAGGGAGATCCTGGGAATGGTCCCGTGGTCAGGGTGATCCTTGGAATGGTCCCAATTTTGGAATGATCCAGTTTTGGAACGATCCAATTTCGGAATGATCCCAGTTTTGGAATGATTCAGTTTTGGAATGATCCCAATGTCGGAATGATCCCAGTTTTGGAACAATCCAATTTTGGAATGATCCCAGTTTTGGAATGATCCAGTTTTGGAATGTTCCCAGTTTTGGAATGATCCCAATTTCAGAATGATCCCAGTTTTGGAATGATCCAGTTTTTGAATGATCCCAGGTTTGGAATGACCCAATTTCGGAATGATCCCAGTTTTGGAATGATCCAGTTTTGGAAAGGCCCCATTGCCAGGCCCATCCCTGGAGCGGAGCCATCCAGCTCCGTCCCTTGCACATGGAGACGCTCCCGCCTTGCTCCCACCACCCCAGGGTGGTGGGCACGTTCCCGGTTCCCGATCCGGCGGGGCCGGGCGCATTCCCGGTTCCCGATCCGGCAGGGACAGGCGCATTCCCGGTTCCCGATCCGGCGGGGCCGGGCGCATTCCCGGTTCCCGATCCGGCAGGGACGGGCGCGTTCCCTGATCCCGATCCGGCAGGGACAGGCGCATTCCCTGATCCCGATCCGGCGGGGATGGACGCGCTCCCGGTTCCCGATCCGGCAGGGACGGGCGCATTCCCGGTTCCCGATCCGGCGGGGATGGATGCGTTCCCGGTTCCCGATCCGGCGGGGCCGGGCGTATTCCCGGTTCCCCATCCGGCGGGGACGGGCACGTTCCCTGTTCCCGATCCGGCGGGGCCGGGCGCGTTCCCTGTTCCCGATCCGGCAGGGACGGGCACATTCCCGGTTCCCGATCCGGCGGGGACGGGCGCGTTCCCGGTTCCCGATCCGGCGGGGACGGGCACGCTCCCGGTTCCCGATCCGGCGGGGACGGGCATATTCCCGGTTCCCGATCCGGCGGGGACGGGCGCATTCCCGGTTCCCGATCCGGCAGGGACGGGCGCGTTCCCTGTTCCCGATCCGGCAGGGACGGGCGCATTCCCGGTTCCCAATCCGGCGGGGATGGGTGCGCTCCCGGTTCCCGATCCGGCGGGGACGGGCGCGTTCCCGGTTCCCGATCCGGCAGGGACGGGCGCATTCCCGGTTCCCGATCCGGCGGGGCCGGGCGCGCTCCCGGCTCCCGGTGCGGTGAAACTGAGGCACGGCGTCCCTTCCCCGCAGTACTTCTCGGACCTGCGGAACAGCATCGTCAACAGCCAGCCCCCGGAGAAGCAGCAGGCCATGCACCTGTGCTTCGAGAACCTCATGGAGGGCATCGAGCGCAACCTGCTCACCAAGAACCGCGACAGGTCAGCGCCGGCGCGGGACGGCGGGGACGGGACGGAGGGGACGGGACAGTGGGGACGGGACAGTGGGGACGGGACCGGGACAGAGGGGACAGGACCGGGACAGAGGGGACGGGACAGAGGGGACGGGACAGAGGGGACAGGACAGTGGGGACGGGACCGGGACAGAGGGGACGGGACCGGGACGGAGGGGACGGGACAGAGGGGACAGGACAGAGGGGACAGGACCGGGATAGAGGGGATGGGACAGAGGGGACAGGACAGATGGGACGGGACCGGGACAGAGGGGACGGGGACAGGAGAGCTGGGACGGGACAGCAGGAATGGGAGAGCCAGGACGGGACGGTGGGGATGGCACCAGGACAGCGAGAACAGGAGAACCGGGAACGGCACCGGGACAGCGGGAATGGGAGAGCCAGGACAGCGGGAACGGCACCGGGAACGGGACCGGGACAGCGGGGATGGGAGAGCCGGGAATGGGAGAGCCAGGAATGGGAGAGCCGGGAACAGCACCGGGACAGCGGGAATGGGAGAGCCGGGAATGGGAGAGCCGGGAATGGGAGAGCCGGGAACGGGACCAGGAGAGCGGGGATGGGAGAGCCGGGAACAGCTCTGGAAGAGCCGGGACAGTGAGGACAGGAGAGCCGGGACAGCAGGGACGGGACTGGGACAGCAAAAACGGGAGAGCCGGGAATGGCACCGGGACAGCGGGAATGGGAGAGCCAGAACAGCAGGGACGGGACATCGGGAATGGGAGAGCCGGGAATGGGAGAGCCGGGAACGGCACCGGGACAGCAGGGATGGGAGAGCCAGGACAGCGGGAACGGCACCGGGAACGGCACCGGGAACGGCACCGGGAACAGCACCGGGAACGGCGCTCCCACGGGACGGGAAGGGCTCAGGGCTGGGCCTTGGCTGGGAGGGATCCCAAATATCCACGGGTGTTCCCAGCACCGTCCCAGGGGGCTCCAGCCTGGCCTGGGACACTTCCAGGGATGGGGTGGCCACAGATTTCCTTTGGGAATTCCATCCTTCCTCATCCTCCCAGTCAGGAATTCCTTCCCAATGTCCCATTCCAGTTCGAAACTTCCCATGGAAAGGTTCCTTCATGGCTGGAATGGTTTGGGTTGGAAGGGAGTTGAAATTTCCATGGCTTGGGACTCATCCCACTGTCCCAGGGGGCTCCAGCCTGGCCTGGGACACTTCCAAGATCGGAGCAGCCAGAGATTTTCCTCTGGGAATTCCTTCCCAATGTCTCAATCCAGTTCAAAACTTCCCGTGGAAAGGTTCCTTCATGGCTTCATGGTTGGAATCATGGAATGGTTTGGGTTGGGAGGGATCCCAAATACCCTCGGGTGTTCCCACCACACCTTCCACCATCCCAGGGGGCTCCAGCCTGGCCTGGGACACTTCCAGGGGTGGGGCAACCACAGCTCCTCTGGGAATTCCATCCTTCCTCATCCTCCCAGTCAGGAATTCCTTCCCAATGTCCCGTTCCAGTTCGAAACTTCCCATGGAAAGGTTCCTTCATGGCTGGAATGGTTTGGGCTGGGAGGGATCCCAAATACCCTCGGGTGTTCCCACCACACCTCGCACCATCTCAGGGTGCCTGGGACACTTCAGGGATGGGACAGACACAGATCTTCCTCCTGGAATTCCTTCCCAATGTCCCATTCCAGTTCACAACCTCCCATGGAAAGGTTCCTTCATGGTTGCAGAAGGAATTCCAGAATTCCTTCCCGAAATCCCCGTTCCAGTGGGATCAGATCCCTTCAGGGCAGGGGTGGGCCCCATCCGGGTTCTGGGAGGAACCGCTCCCAGCTGGGAATTCCGAGGGATGGGGGAGCGGGGGAGCGGTGGAACCATGGGATGGTGGAACCATGGAATGGTGGAACCATGGGATGGTGGAGTCATGGGATGGTGGAGTCATGGGATGGTGGAACCATGGGATGGTGGAACCATGGGATGGTGGAGTCATGGAATGGTGGAACCATGGGATGGTGGAACCATGGGATGGTGGAGTCATGGGATGGTGGAACCATGGAATGGTGGAGTCATGGGATGGTGGAATCATGGGATGGTGGAGTCATGGGATGGTGGAATCATGGGATGGTGGAACCATGGGATGGTGGAACCATGGGATGGTGGAACTATGGAATGGTGGAACCGTGGGATGGTGGAGTCATGGGATGGTGGAACCATGGAATGGTGGAACCGTGGAATGGTGGAACCATGGAATGGTGGAACCGTGGGATGGTGGAATCATGGAATGGTGGAACCATGGAATGGTGGAACCGTGGAATGGTGGAATCATGGAATGGTGGAATCATGGGATGGTGGAGTCATGGAATGGTGGAACCATGGGATGGTGGAATCATGGAATGGTGGAACCATGGAATGGTGGAACCGTGGGATGGTGGAATCATGGGATGGTGGAATCATGGAATGGTGGAACCATGG